AGCATATTAAAAAGCAGAGACATTACTTTGCCAACAAAGGTCCGTCTGGTCAAGGCTATGGTTTTTCCAGTGGTCATGTATGGATGTGAGAGTTGGACTGTGAAGAAAGCTGAGTGCCGAAAAATTGATGGTTTTGAATTGTGGTGTTGGAGATGACTCTTGAGAGTCCCTTGGACTGCAAGGAGATCCAGCCAGTCCATCCTAAAGGAAATCAGTCCTGAATATTCATTGGAAGGACTGATGCTGAAGCTGAAACTCCTAATACTCTGGCCTTGGAAAAGCCCCTGATGCTGGAAAAGATTGAAAGCAGGAGGAGAAGGGGATGACACAGGATGAGATGGTTGGATGGCATCACCGACTCGATGCACATGAGTTTGAGCAAGCTCTAGGAGTTGGTGACAGACAGGGAGGCCTGGCATGCTGCAGTCCATGGGGTCGCAAAGAGTTGGACATGACTGAGCGACTGAACTGAACTGAATGATCTTTTAGTGTTACCTGATTTACTGAGGAGTCTGACACAATGGGCCTCCTACTTCTTAAATGACCTTTCCTTATTTGGTATCTGTGACCTATACTGGTTTTCCTTTTATTTCTCTACCTTCTCTAGATTTCCTCCTCTAGGTATGGTTCTATCCTACACCTTCTTTTCTTCTTACCATACATACTGTCTTTGGATAATCTCACCTATTCTCATCATGTAAGAGCCAATGTCTCCCAAATCCACAATCTCAGCCCAATCTTTCTCCTGAAGTCCAAATGTGTGTATTAAGATACCACTGAACATGTCCATTTAGCTGTAACATTTGAGACATTCTCAACTGATCCCAAAGTGAAATGATCATCCCTTCTTTCTAAATCTGCTTCTCTTGTATTTCCTATATTAGTGAATGTTTCCACCATCCAAGGCAGAACTCTGGCTAGCATACTTGCCCCTCTATCCTCATCATCCCAAATAAGCAAATGATAATCAACTCCTGTCATTCTTATCTCCTAAATATCTCAAATCAAATTCCACAGCTATAACTCCCCACTCAGGTCACCAATTTTTCTTGCCAAAGTTACCGCAACAATCCCCAAGCTAGTCTCCCCACCTTACTCTTCTCCTATCCATTCTCCAAACATTAGCCACAGAGATCTTTCTAAAACACAAATCTGATTATGTATTTACTACTTGAAAACTGGTGGTGACTTACTCTAGCTATCAGAGTAAAGGCTAAACTTCCTAACACTGTACATAAGGTCTATTTATAGTCTGGCTGTTTCTACTTCATTTTTTGATCTTCATCTCTTGGACTTTATTAACCTTGCCACTGATACTTTATACTACAGAATTACAGCTTTTTTGCCATTCAACTTCTTCTATCCTTAGCATGGTCAACTTCTGTGAATTTTAATTTCCCACTTATTTTATCTATTCCTCACTTGGCTACAAGTTCCACGACAGTAGAGATGGAAAAACTAGCACGTGGCACAGTGTCCATTAAATAGTAGGTAAATGATAAATCTATGAATGAACATACGTACTCTTAGGTACCTCCAGCAGAAAGAAGCTTATAAAAAGCTGGTAGTAAAGACATTTGCAGAGAGCAGTCTCTCTCTAAAACTGGTAGGTTCAACCTTTCCAAATGTAGGGTCTGAATTAGGAGTACTACAAAAATCAACTAACGAGCTGCCATTCTTTAAAATCACTTTATAAACATGGAAGAGATAACTCACTTTCAATTTATGCTTTGCAGAATAATGAACAATATTAACTATTTCAAAGACATTTCAACAAGAATTTATTTTAATGACATTGAAGAATAAGCAAATATGTTCTTATTTTAGCCAAAGGGTACTAGTTAAATTAGCACAGCTATCTGCAAAAATACATATATTTGCATGTATGTTCAGTCTTACTTTTCTCACTTGGTATTTCCACTGAAAATAGTAACTCAAGCTATTTGAAAGATAATTTTATATTTTTTAAAACCATTTTAATTGAAAATTATACTTAAGTTAGGAAAAATTAAGTATATACACAACCAACCAAGAGACTACTACAAAATAAGTTATGGGATTTCTAAGTTATCACATTTAAATTTTCCATGTGGCTTCTGCCTTAGTGATAGTTCTTTTAATGTTCTTTTAATAGTACACAAACCAATGAATACAATTCCTAACAAATTTAATCCTAAAATACCGTGGGATGTACCCTACAAGCAAAATCAAATATCCTTTTAACTATGAATCCATTTAGAATACTTTAGTGTAATTAGTAGAGATATTAGAGATTATTTAATTCAAAATTCTCATTTGACAATTGAGGCACATATGCCCAAACAGGGTAAGTCACTCGCCCAGAGTAAGACACAGACAGATCCGGCACATGAATCCAGACCAAATCCAGTGCTATTTTTGCTGCTGTTTAGTCACTAAGCCATGTCCGACTCTTTTATGACCTGGCAGCTGCAGCCCGCCAGGCTCCCCTGTCCACTGGATTTCCCAGGCAAGAATCCTAGAGTAGACTGCATTTTCCTTCTCCAGAGGATCTTCCTAACCCAGGGAACAAACCTGTGTCTCTTGCATTGGCAGGTGGATTCTTTATCACTGAGCCACCAGAGAATCCTAGTGCTCTCTTTACAGATGCTATATCCTGAACACATTTATTACCAATAACTAAAACAAAACCAAGCCATGAGATAGAGAATATTCTTATAATATTTCCTGACAAGGATCTTTGACTGGGGCTTCAAAAAAATAGAAATAGAATAATTAATCTGGTCTTTTGTGTGTATTTAGAATACAATTAGGTATATGCAATGACAGCATTAGCTAAAATCTAAAAGCTATGCATTTAATTAATTGGTCCTATATTTAGTGACTATTACACTGAAGAAGGGAATAGAAAACCACTTCAGAATTCTTGCCTTGAGAACCCCATGAACAGTATGAAAAGGCAAAAAGTAAGGACACTGAAAGATGAACTCCCCAGGTCGGCAGGTGCCCAACATGCTACTGGAGATCAGTGGAGAAATAACTCCAGAAAGAATGAAGGGATGGAGCCAAAGCAAAAACAACACCCAGTTGTGAATGGGACTGGTGATAGAAGCAAGGTTTGATAATGTAAAGAGCAATATTGCATAGGAACCCGGAAAGTTAGGTCCATGAATCAAGGCAAATTGGAAGTGGTCAAACAGGAGATGAACATCGACATTCTAGATGGACTAGAATGGACTAGAATGGGTGAATTTAACTCAGATGACCATTATATCTACTACTGTGGCAGGAATTCCTTAGAAGAAATGGAGTAGCCATCACAGTCAACAAAAGAATCCAAAATGCAGTACTTGGATGCAATCTCAAAAACGACAGAATGAACTCTGTTCGTTTCCAAGGCACACCATTCAATATCACAGTAATCCAAGTCTATGCCCTGATCAGTAACACTGAAGAAACTGAAGTTGAACAGCTCTATGAAGACCTACAAGACCTTCTAGAACTAACAACCAAAAAAGATGTCCTTTTCGTTAAAGGGGACTGGAATGCAAAAGTAGGAAGTCAAGAAACACCTGGAGTAACAGGCAAATTTGGCCTTGGAGTACAGAATGAAGCAGGGAAAAGGCTAATGGAGTTTATTTTTCTGTTTATCATTATCTATAAATACAGTTGCACTTATTTTCCAGTAAGGATGCCTTTTATTCTCCCTATAGTTTCTGCTTCCACCTATCTTAGTTAGCCTCATGGTTCTAACTCAGTATCACTCCTTCTTTCTTTGCTATCTTTCTCTTTGTTCTGAATTTTCAAGTTTAAATAGAGGGGAAAAAGGAAAAAAAGATGTAGAGAATCTGCTTATCTCAAATGTTAGCTATCATTTTTCCTTGGGCAAAGTTTTCCATTGTAGCTCATAACTCTCTGGCTAATAAATGCTGCCTTTGGGTCCGATGATCACTAATAAGGTATAGGCAGAGAGAAAGGCAGACCACAGCTTCTGCATAGCTGGAGAAATTTTCTTTAAGGGACTGTATGCATGGCCTGACTTTGAAATTGATACAGACAGAATACTATTGTTACAGTAGGTATTGTTCCAAGATAAGATGCATATAAAGAAAGTGAAAGTGAAGTTGCTCAGTCGTGTCTGACTCTTGTGACCCTTGTAGCCTGACAGGCTCCTCTGTCCATGGGATTTTCCAGGCAAGAATACTGGAGTGAGTTGCCATTTCCTTCTCCAGGGGATCTTCCCGATGCAGGGATTGAACCCAGGTCTCCCGTGCTGCAGGTAGACTCTTTACTGTCTGAGCCACCGGGGAAGCCCCCAAATGCATATATATTTTTTTTAACTCAGAGGATTTCTTTGTGATGTTGATTGGAATGGATTATTAATTCTAGTATTTTAATTAATTAACATTGAGGTATAACTGACATACAACATTATATTATTTTCGGGGATATAATGTAATGCTTCAGTACTTGTCTGTATTGTGAAATGATCAGCACAGGGAAATCTAGCTAAGGCTTTTTCCTTGTGATGAAGACTTTCAAAATACACTAAAATTTAATATGCTGTGTTGTTTATCTAAAGTGTTTTTGGATTGCATTATAAGACTACTTATTCAAAAATTTATTTTCTTCTTTTTGGTCACGNATTTTTGGGGGCTCCAAAATCACTGCAGATGGTGATTGCAGCCATGAAATTAAAAGACGCTTACTCCTTGGAAGGAAAGTTATGACCAACCTAGATAGCATATTAAAAAGCAGAGACATTACCTTGCCAACAAAGGTCCATCTAGTCAAGACTATGGTTTTTCCAGTGGTCATGTGTGGATGTGAGAGTTGGACTGTGAAGAAAGCTGAGTGCAGAAGAACTGATGCTTTTGAATTGTGGTGTTGGAGAAGATTCTTGAGAGCCCCTTGGACTGCAAGGAGATCCAACCAATCCATCCTAAAGGAGATCAGTCCTGGGTGTTCATTGGAAGGACTGATGTTGAAGCTTAAACTCCAATACTTTAGCCACCTGATGCAAGGATCTGACTCATTGGAAAAGACCCAGATGCTGGGAAAGATTGAGGGCAGGAGGAGAAGGAGACGACAGAGGATGAAATGGTTGGATGGCATCACCGACTTGATGGACATGGGTTTGGGTGGACTCTGGGATTTGGTGATGGACAGGGAGGCCTGGCGTGCTGCGGTTCATGGGGTCACAAAGAGTCAGACACGACTGAGCGACTGAACTGAACTGAACACATACTTTGAAGCTGGAGCTCCAATGCTCTGGCCACCTGATGCAAAGAACTGACTCACTGGAAAAGACCCTGATGCTGGTAAAGACTGAAGGCAGGAGGAGAAGGGGATGACAGAGGATGAGATGCTTGGATGGCATCGCTGACTCAAGGGACATGAGTTTAAGCAAGTTCTAGGAGTTGGTGATGGACACAGAAGCCTGATGTGCTGCAGTCCATGGGGTCACAAAGAGTCAAACACAACTGAGCAACTGAACTGACACATAATTTGCTTTGTCCATTTATAAATGAATATAATGTAGAATTTTAATAAAAATTTATTATATTTACATAAAAATTTACAGTTACAATTCACAAAACTCCCTGAGAATTCACTCTTGTTCATTATGAAGGGATAAAAATATAGAAAAGAACTGAATTATAAAGTGTTGGAAAAATAATTTAAAAAATTAAGGGAAAACATCAAGAATGAAGAGAACTAAAAAGGTGATATTAGCAGGAAATATGATATCCTTTTCTCATAAGATCTAATTCTACGCAGAGATACTGGATTGGTACAAGCATGTGTTTTTCTGTGTGCATGCACACATGGGCAATCAGGTGTATTTATAGAATATTCTAATGCTGGAAGAAATTTCAGTATTTCGGCATTTCAGCAAAAGAAATTTCCTTTCTCTATCCTTTGTTCACATCCTGATTCCAAAAATATACATTCTTACTTCAGAAAAAAATCCAGATGACTATTACCTTCATACACCTCTTACTGAACCAAGACAAACTTTTTTATATGAGTACATTTCTGGAAAAAAAAAAGTAAAAATTAAGATCTTTCACAGTAATGCAAATTTTAAAGAAATTTCTCTTTCCCTACAATATTCTCTTATTCCTATAATCTACTCAACATGTTTAATTTGGAACCAACCCAACATTAGTAACACCTGCTGTGGGAATCCACCTAACATTTGGGACAACTGCTGCTACTGGCCCCAGGAAAGTCCCTTCTTAACCTCACCAAAATAACAGTGGTAATAGTAACACAATCTTTAAAAGTTAACAAAAACATAATTAATTTTCTCAAATAACACAACAATAACAACAAAAGCCTCAAAAGAAGCGATTCTCACAATCTCAGGTTAACATAATTTATTACTGATTAATTTATTTTAAAGAAAATTCTTGAAGTAAGAACGAAGTTGTACCTTTTCAAGGTCTGGATCTTGAAAGGGAAATTTACTTATGATTGCTCTATATTCTTCTTCACTAACAATAGGGATGGGGCTATAATTATCTTCTTCAAAAATGTCCCTGTTAAGAAAGAAGACAGAATTGAAAATTTAATATTAGAAAACACACCAATAGAGTACTATAGGACAATACTTTAAGAAAACCCAATAATTACAAAATAATTTTCTGTTTGTCAGTTAAAGGTATAAATAGGAAAACAGTGCCTAATCACTCAGAATTCTAAAATCCAGTATCAAATAAGTGTCTCTCAAAATTAACGTGTGATCTTCTTTCTACTTGTTTATTTTACATCCTTCAGTATTTCAGTTCCTTAGAATAGTTCCCAAGATGATATAGCCTGAATGAACTAATTACAACTAAAAATGAGATGAAGAGTATCCCAGTCATATTTCTTAACAGGAACAACTCTCAAATTGTATGTCTTTTGTGTTCTCTTTCCAACTAGATCATAAGCTCCCTGAAGATGAAAACAATGTCTTCCATTTGTCTGTCTCTCATAATGCTGTACTTAGAAAAGGACCTTTTACACTTAGTAAGGTAGACACATTTACTACTCACCAAACATCCATGTGCTTTCCTTGCAAACAGGTAGTCATATGACTAGTTTCAGCCACTGGACTGTGAACACAAGTTACATGTGTTGCTTTAAGTCTAAAGCATTTATGAGCTAACCATGTGATCCTCTGTCCCATGGTGACAGGGAAGACCCACATGTCGAGAAAGTAGAATCACAAATGGCAAAAGCCTGAGTCGTGGACTACTAGACCCACTATAAACTTTTGTGTGAGAAATAAAATGCCTATGTTTATCCAATGAGATTTTGTGCACTTTTGTTAGTAGCATAACTCAGCCTGTACTAATATACCTGCTGTCCAATCAACTTCTTTATAATCAATAATTCAGTCTGATTAGTATTTCTTGAGCATCTAGTGCTAGTCTCTGTGCTAACTATAATGAAAACTCTCTACCCCCATGAAGATAAAAGCAAGATCTTTGTTCTCAAGCCTAATAGGAGAGAGAGATATGCAAACAGATTATGTTTATAATGATGTTATACAGACAATAAATGAGGTACAAGTTTCAGATATCGGACAAAGGGAAAAAGCAACTAACTTTATCAGACTAAGTGGGAGATATCTCATGAAAAGTTTACAGAGAAACTATGGGCTGTGCAGGGGTTTTACAGATAAAAAGAAACACTTCTAATGAGATTATGGGAGAATAGCATTACGAAGGATGGACCATAACATGCAAAAATATAAGGGATAAAAAAGTATGACTATGGGGAGGGGCTGAATAAAATCACAAGTATGCAGTATTACTGGAATATAAAATATGCAAGGGACATGGTTTAAAATGAGGCTGGGCAGGTGGAAAAACTGAGACCCAGATTTTATCCTATAGGCAACGGAATATCATCTGAGGTTTTAGGCAGACGAATATCATAGGAAGAATTTCACATAGTGGAGGAAAAACAAGGAAAAAGACGATAATGAACAGAGAGAGGCCAGGTGGAAAGACTGAATGATCCAAATAAAGAGCGATGAGGATTTGAATTAAAGCTGTATTTGTGGAGGCAGAAAGGGAGTGGCAGAAACAGTTTTTAAGAAGTAGAATATATGGGACTTACAAACTAAATGAGGATTATGAGGGAAAGTATAATCCTAATGAATCTGTGGTTTCTAGACAAGGAAAATGGACAAATGATATATATATCTCACCTCATCACAGACATCTGCAGAGGTAAGGAACACAAGAGAAGAATATAGTTTGGGCAGTAGATAATGAATATCTAACTGATAAATGGCTCTGGCATCTTAATGAGAGGCTGGAAATAAGTCATGAACCTGTGGTGCAACTGTTGTGGAAAACAGAATAGAGGTTCCTCAAAATTATTTACCATATAATCCAGCAATTCCACTTCTGGGTATATGCCCAAAAGAACTGAAAGAGGGACCCAAACAGATAACTGTTTGTCAATGTTCATAGTGGTATTATTCATAATTGTCAAAAGGTGAAAACAACCCAAATATCCATAAGTAGATGAATGGATAAATAAAACATGATACACACAATGGAATATTATTTAGCCTTAAAAAAGGAATGATATTGACACAACATGGATGAACCTTGAAGACATTATGCTTAGTGAAATAAACCAGACCAACAAAACCAAACAAATTCAGACACAAAACCCAAAGAATGTACGAACTACTTATATGAAGTAACTAGAGTAGTCAAATTCAAAGACAAAGTAGAATGGTGATTTCTGGGGATGGACTAGAAGAAAAAGAGATTGGGAGGTACTGTTTAATTGGTACAGAGTTTCAGTTTAGCAAGATAAGAAAGTTCTGGAGATGAACAGGAGTGATGGTTTCAACAGTGTGAACATACTTAATGTCACTGAACTATACATTCATAAAAGGTTAAAATAGTAAATTTTAAGTTACACATATTTTACCACAATAAAAATATAACTTAAGCAATTTTATTGCTAAATGCAAAAACAATTACTTCATCATTTGGCCATTTTTTTAAATTACATTAAGGTACCATGGCTTAGACTAACCTGAAAACTCCAGCCCATTTCTTAAGCAATGTTTCATTGTATTGATCTCTTATTTCAAATAAAAGGTCAAAAAGTCGATTCACTGGAAAACCATAACCCTAAAACACACACACAAAAAGCAGATAAACAAGTAAAATAAATAAAGATATTCATTTTTAAAAGTTCAGAATACTAGAGAACTGTTTGAAGTAATCATTATATCAAACTGTATGCCATTTCAACAGTATGAAAAAAAGGTATCCTTTTGACTTTCTACTAAGTTGCACCAGTTAAAAAAAGAGTCTAGAAAGTTTTATGAAGCTGGAATTATTTTTCCATTTCTTCTCTCTCTTTTCAGTCTGGATTACACTGTTAACCTTAAAAAGTATTACAAGTCAGAACTGGAGGAAAAGTTCAAGATTACTGATCCACGTAACTGCATCTTGGGAAGCAGTCTCTAAATAATACAGAAGAAAAAAAGAGAATACATTCTGTCTGAAACACTCTACTTTCAATTCAGTGCTGACTTTGTAGTACAGGGAAAAGTTATCAAACAGACACTCCAAAATTTTATTCCTTTGCAACTCCAAATCCAATGAAATCATACCCATATTAGGACCAAACATTTCTGCTCACATCAGAGTTGTCCCTCTTCCCCTTCAAGGCTCACCTCTTCGTCTTTGGTCTTGATCCTATCTCCTCCTTCAGGAACTGCTCCATGGATTAGCTACTCACTCTGTTGCATTTTTAACTTCCACTACCTCCTTTCTCTTCACTAAATAAACTTGCTAAATTGCCTCCCATCTTTAAAACGAGAACAACTAAAGGAAACAAAAAAGCCCTCCTACAATTTTCTGTGCCCTGCAGCTGCCTCCTGTCCTTCCCTAGCCAAACCTACTACAATCTAACTCCCACTCCTATTCCTTTTTTGAAACTGCTGTCAATAATATCACAGAGTATATCCTAAATAGAAAATTCCATGATCTCTCATTCTATCTTACTTCTGTTTCCTCTGCTTTGAATTCTGTAATATTACTCTCCTTGTTCTCCTTTTATCTATGAGTAATCCCTCTGGATTCTTTATTCTTCTATCTCCATCCTTCAATTTTTTCTTCTAGCTCTCTAGAGCAATTTCAAGTCAATTGACTTCAAACACTATGTTCACTGACTATTCTCAATCTGTATCTCTAGCTAGACCTCTATAAATTCTAAATATTTAATTCCAACAGCTATTAGACATCTCCAGTCCACCAACAAGCACATTAAACTCATATCTTCCTACTAAACCAGTGTTCTTCCTACTTCCTATTCCTGTTAATAGTTCTATCATCAATCCAATTTATCAGGAAAGAAACCTAAATGTCATCTAAATGCCCCCAAAACAAACATCTAATCACTCATCAGATTCTTTTGATTTTGCCTCCTTTACAAATTTCATTCAAACCTATCATTTTTCTCCATCATCTACTACCTTTCTTTCTTCAGAAATCTTTCCAGTACCACTGTTTTATTTTAGGTCCTTAACATCCCCTGCCTAGATCACTGTAAAAGCTTTCTAAACTGAAATTCCAACCATCTGTCTCTCTCAACTCACTCTATTGCCAACTCATAAAATTATCAACTAAAAGTGCAAAGCAGATCATACCATTCCCCTAGAGGAGGCTTACTAAAGTCTCACAAGACATGCCATAATCTGGCTAAAACTACCTAATCAGTTTCATTACCACTCTCTACCCTCTTTACTTACATTTAAACATTACAGTTTCTAACACCACCAAGCTGGTCAGCCAGTCTCATGCCCACCATACCATTTGTTGTTGTCATTCAGTCACCAAGTCATGTCCAACTCTTAGTGACTCTATGGACTGCAGCACGCCAGACTTCCCTGTCCTTCACCATCTCTCGGAGTTTGCCCAAGCTCTTGTCCACTGAACGGGTGATGTCATCCAAACATCTCATTCCCTGTCGCCCTCTTCTCCTTCTGCCTTCAATCCTTCCCAGCATCAGGGTCTTTTCCAATGAGTCAGCTGTTTGCATCCAGTGGCCAAAGTATACCATACTATACTATGGTGACAGTATAGTCAGTTACCTACAACTGACACAGGCTATTTGCCTGTCATTAATGCCTCTTCCTTCATATCTAACTTGCTAAACTCACATGTCCTTCAAAATCTAGCTCACATTTCAACTTTCTGTATAACCCTTCCCAACTCCTGGAATCAAAGTTATCATTCTATCTTCCAAGAGCCCAAAGTTCTTTAACACATTACTAAATTAGTATGTCTTATTATACATCTTATTTGTTTACAACTAAACTGAATTTCTTAAACCCAAGAATCTTTATGTCCCTATTGTTGTACTGATTTTTATATATATCATATTACCTAGCTGTTAGCACATAGCGGGTGCTCAAAAAAGGTTAATGAACGAATCAATAAATGCTTACTTTTCATTTGCTTAATAGGCAGTAAGCAGAACTATGAACATGCTATGTTGTGTTTTGATTTTTCACTTTATTGTTTAGTTAGCTTTGTTTTAGGTTATGAAATAGTAACATTTTAAAAAGAAAAATTCCCTTAGGGTGGTAAAGTGGCAATTTTTAAAATGAAATATTGTGCAATATGCTTTAACTAAAGATTAATTAGAAAAGACCATCTTCAATTCTCTCAACTTTTCAATTACTAAGTACAACTTGAAAAGCCAGTTTAAATGAATTACATTTAATTCAATGTAAGCTCTACCTAATAATCAGCTTGTCAATTTTCAGTGAAATGAAAATACTGCATGATTTCTAAATAAGCAAGAACTGATTTGTTTTCCTCAACTTAATTTCAAAGCAGTAAGATTAGAAAGATATATTAACAAGGGTTTATGCATCCATCAATGTTGCTTTTTTAACACCTCTGTAACCTGAATATTGCCTACTACTCTTTGATTATCTGCAGAGTTCCTTGCAACCATACCAAATACTTAATCTAAAACTGAATCTACAGTTGTACTCAAAATGACAATTCAAGAACAGTCTGTATGGTTTTTAAAAGAGATAAAGAGTTTACACCAGAATATAAATCAATGCTGCTACTGATATCAATCAATGCTGCTATTGTTACCAAAAACAAAAACCAACTGAGCTAAATTTTGTACTTTAGTGACACAGTTGATCTACATTCTGACAGAAATTTCCTTTCATTATGGATCCATAACAATTTGTTGACCTGGGGTCCCCAGACCATATTTTGAGTAGCAATGCTTTGAGTCATTAAGGACAGCAAAACTCCAAGTTACTTAAAAATAGGCCCCAAATATTAAGGCAGTCTTTAATAAAACTTACTAAAGTTTTCTTGCAGAGAAATCAGTATTACAGGTACATTAGTCACAAACTTTATGAAAGAAAAAAAGTCCCAAATTATTCTGGTTTTATAATAAAAGTCATACAAACTAATGAAGATATAAGGCAATAAAATAATTTACTAAAGGAGCTTGTGGTATCTTCTCCTCAGGTTTAAGAATAAAATAGATAACTATTATTCTAGGATGGACTCCTGTGATAAAACAAACAGTTTAGCATTTCCTAAAAGTAAAGGTCACTCAGTTGTGTCCAACTCTTTGGGACCCCATGGACTATATAGTCCATGGAATTCTCCAGGCCAGAATACTGGAGTGGGTAGCCTTTCCCTTCTCCAGGGTGATCTTCCTAACCCAGGGATCAAACCCAGGTCTCCCACATTACAGGCAGATTCTTTACCAACTGAGCCACAAGGGAAGACCCAGCATTTCCTAAAGCCCCAGCATTTCCTTTGTATGAAGCTCTAGATCAAAAAGATGCTCTAAGGGAAAAAAAAGATTTAAGAGTCAGATATGTTGGGAAAATAATCACCTTACCTTTGGAAATGTATGCTATAAACTTGCTTAGTAGAAAATCTCCTTTACTTCACTCAGCATTTTCTAAACATTTTTGACCATACAACTAGTATCACACTTTGGAAAATGCTGGTCTATATTTCACAAAAAGTTATTCCAAACATAACAACCCCATAAATTTAAGCATGGTTGAAAAGTTACCAATCAATCAAACATCTATCAATCAAATTTATCAAAAATCCCGTAAGTTTAAGCATGAAAACTTAATCAATTCTTTATTATCTGTGATCAAAGATGAAGGACAAGTTCAAAACTTTGATACTGATAACCACAAAGACAATGAGGTTTCAGACAATTCAGTTTTAATCTTATTTTAAAAAGAAAAAAACTCCAAAATGCAAAGTAAAGTGATATGCTTACAATCATAGCACACTTGAAATTAGGAAAGAAATGAGTATATACAGCTTTCAAACTAGCATTTATTTTCATATATAGTATCACATTTAAAACTCCAAACAATTCTGAAAACTAGTAATTAATAAATCCACTTTCACAAATGAGGATCTGAAGTTCAGAAAACTTGTAAACATACAATTAGCCAACAGCAAAAGCTGAACATAAACTCGGGTCTTTGTGATTCCATAGCTCATGTTCACTGTCCTCAGGCAGAACTTTAATATTCTAATTTCTAGTTCAGGGTTTTTTCCACTACATTGTGTACTTTTTTTTAACTGCAAAAATACTATATCTAAGCCAATAGATGACCAATATTTTAACAGATGGTAATATTCCCTGATCTCTGTGCAATCTTCATAATCAGGAAGGCGGTAGTATGAAAAGTTCTGCATGATAGGAGAATATCAATACATAAGTAAACATTTGATTATTACTAATTTACTACCATTAAGTCACAATACAAGAAATGAGTATGGTCTACACTATATTTTGAATAGTTTTATGTGCTCAAATAGCCATTAACTGAATATCAGATTATCACCCACCTGTAGAGTATCTGCAAATATTACAATGAGATTCTTCAGCTCCAGAACAAGATCAGGATCAGTGCAATAAGACTGGGAGAATGAAGGGTAAGTGGGGGTAGAGACACAAACAAACACACACCAGAGTCACTTGGTTAAAAACTAAGAAATAAAACTTGAAAATTTTTCCTTAAATTTGCTTGACTTACAATAAATTTAAAGTCTTGACTATCAAATTCACAGCTGACTTCTTCTATTCATTAAAAAATTCTTAGGGAATGATCATGACATGACAAACCACTTTAGGTACTATATGAAAAGAAATTTTCCTGAAATTTGCGCACACTTACTTTAGTCAAAGCAACGAAGCTTATATTTACAAAAAGGTCTTTAGATTTTAAAGAACTAGTTATTTCAAATTGAAAAAATGGTTTATATTTCTACTTTTCAATTATTTATTTATTCTATTATAAAAGAGATACAATCAATATATTTTTCTAAGTGACAATTTATTTTCTTAGTACTCCATCAAAGGAAAATAATTATTTCAAAAGGATAGTGAAATTCACTCTTGTTCCTTTAACAGCATTTAGTAAGATTTAAATGTGATATATTGCATTTACTATAATATGATTTCATACCTGATGTCATGGAATTAATAGAGAGCATACTACAATATTACATATTCATAGCTGATCTGAATATAAACCATGATAAAATATATTGTTCCTTATTATATGTGATATAAAAAGTTGTAGTTCATTGGACAAATAGTGTACCCAGAATCCATGTCCCTGATAAGTAAAAATATAATGTATTTATAATCTAAGTATCACTTAAACTAATAATCTTTCTTCAAAATATTTTCAATCTCTATTCTCAATAATAAAATTTTAAGTAATAGATTATAAAATTTTAAGTTTGGGGAGATTTTACTGAAGGCAAGCTTCCAAAATTATCCTAAGAAAAGGTCCACACTAAGAAATTATTAATTTCACTAGTCCTTATCAGATAATTTTTACTTCCGCAAAAGGCATATTATAAAAATATTTTATCATTTTACCTTTCTTCATAAAAAAGTTTTCATTACTTAAAGATTCACTACTCCAAATGAGTTTAAATTTTGACAACTGCATATTATTTTTAGGACATTTATAAGTGTACTACTGCAAATAAGCTATAAACATTGAAGAACAAGTTCTATTGAGTTTTAATGGTGGAGTTTATTTTGGAAACAAAGAATGTGGAATGATAATTAAAAACCCTTTCTTCATGGTGCTTTTCAGTGATCTAATGAAGAGGTCAGTTGAGACTAATGAGAACAGCATAATTCTCCATCTTCTATAACGCTGGACTGAAAGTGTCTTCAGCAAGCCCCAGTCAGTTGCAAAATCACAGCTCAATATTACCACATAAACAAAGGCCTAACATTACTACCTCCAAATCTGACAATTATCAAAAAAATGTAGAACTAATGAAGGTACAACTTTCTTCTGACACTATCCAATTCATAAGTTCTTAAAGTAACAATTAAAAATTTAGTAACATAAATTATCTAACTTACTGAATGAGCTCTAAGGACAGCAATTATCTTTGAGAGGGCCATGTTCCAAAGTTCATCAGTGTATGCCCTGGTTACTAATCCTTGGGTCACATGTAAAATGTGATCTTCCACCACAAAGAACCTAAAAACAGCAATTGCAAAATAACGAGTTGAAACAAAATTCAAACCTAAATAGAAAATAATTAGTTCTGACATTTAACACAATATCAAAATAATATTTGTTGCCATATTAGATACATACCCTACAATTTGAGTGAAATATCTTCTGTAGCCATCAACTGTTTCATGCTTTAAATGAAAAATAAAAATCAATTTAAAACAATAGATATGAGTAACATAAAAGTAGTTCCAAATCAGTACAACATTTATTAACAAATATTTATTGAGAGTCTACTATAAGAAGCATATATTTTAAGGCACGAGGGATACACTGGTAAATAACAAAAAGTCCTTACCCCTCATGGAATTTGCATTCGAAAAGAGACAAAATAAGCAAATTTAAAAGTCAGAACCTTCGTCTCAGCAGGCTAATTCAATCCACTAACATCTCTCACTTGGCCTATTACATCATTCACGTACCTAGCCTTCGAAGCTTTCAGGCTTGTTTCCTTAAGTCTATTCTCCAGACAGCTGCCAGAAAAATACTTTTCAAAAATAATCAAATAAATATATCGTTTGCTAAAAACCTTCTAGTGATTTTCTATCTGATTCATAATAAAAGTCAAATTCCTCTGAAATGGTCTACAATTTCATATTGTTCATAATTTTAACAAAAAGAAAATATTTGATTATTTGAATTTCATGAGCTTATTACATGAAATATTTCAATTAGGTTCAAATATTGTATTTTATTTCATGAAAGTGATCAAAATTTTCAAACATCTGGATTTTTTTCAGGGAGGAGGCTGTTATTACACTTTTGGCTTAAAAATACTATGATCAGAGAATAGAGTCTACATGACACAAAAGTTTGACATGTCTTGATATCTGCTTTATAACATAGTATGTTGTCACATTTTACAATGTTCAATATGTACTTTTAAAAAGTGTTTTTACAGGTGTTGAAACAGAATTCTTTTTTTCTGGCCATGCTGCATGGCTTGTGGGATCTTAGTTCCTCAATCAAGGATCAAACTGGGCCCACAGCAGTGAAAGTGCTGAGTCTTATCCACTGGACCACTAGTCTATTCAGTTCAGTTCCGTTCAGTTCAGTCATGTCCGACTCTTTGCGACCCCATGAACCACAGCACAACAGGCCTCCCTGTCCATCACCAACTCCTGGAGTTTACCCAAACTCATGTCCACTGAGTCGGTGATGCCATCCAATCGTCTCATCCTCTGTCGTCCCCTTCTCCTCCTGACCTCGATCTTTCCCAGCATCAGGGTCTTTTCAAATGAGTCAACTCTTCGCATCAGGTGGCCAAAGTACTGGAGTTCCAGCTTCAACATCAGTCCTTCCAATGAATACCCAGGACTGATCTCCTTTAGGATGGACTAGTTGGATCTCCTTGTAGTCAAAGGGACTCTCAAGAGTCTTCTCCAACACCACAGTTCAAAAGCATCAATTCTTCTGCGCTCAGCTTTCTTTACAGTCCAGCTCTCACATCCATATGTAACTACTGGAAAAACCATAGCCTTGACTAGACAGACCTTTGTTGGCAAAGTAATGTCTCTGCTTTTTAACATGCCGTCTAGATTGGTCATAATTTTCCTTCCAAGGAGAGTAAGTGTCTTTTAATTCCATGGCTGCAATCACCATCTGCAGTGATTTTGGAGCCCCCAAAAATAAAGTCAGTTACTGTTTCCACTGTTTCCCCATCTATTTGCCACGAAGTGCTGGGACCAGATGCCATGATCTTAGTTTCCTGAATGTTGAGCTTTAAGCCTATTAGATAAGCCTATTATTAAACATGTTCTGTATTCTTACTGCTATTCTGTCTAATGGCTTATAAGATACTGAAGCATCCACAATGCTTATGGATTTTTTAATTTACCCTCTTAGTTGCAGCAATTTTGCTTTAAATACTTTGAGTTAATGTTATCAAGTACTTATAGATTCAAATTAACATTTTTTATCAGCTCTAAGACATGAATTTTTTATAACTTTAGCTTTTTAAATTATATTTAACTATATACTGTTTCTATTCTTCTAATGGCTACAGAAATTATATTATGCATACTTAAATAATAAAACTCTAAAATTAATTAATAATTTTATTCTTTTCTGCATAATTCCAAAACAGTTCAGCTTCAATAACTTCCTAATATTTATGCTATTCACCCTAATATTTATGCTATTGTTATTGTGCATTTTGTTTCTATCTTGTTTTAAAGATAAGATTCTATCTTGTTTTAAATTCTATCCATAATATTGTATTATTTTCTACAGTCAACACAGATTTATCCACATATTTATACTTTCTTTGCTATTCATTTCTTTTAGCATCTCATTTTTTCCATTTGGCATCACTTTCTTTTTGACTACAGTCTTTTCTTTCCTTCTAAGGGCGTCTCAGTAACAAACTCTCCTCCTCTTTGTCTGAAAATGCCTATCTTTGTCCTTGTTCCACTGAATAGAGAATCCCACCCAGGTAGACAGTTCTTTTCCTTCAGCATTGAAAATACTCCACTGTCTTGTTTATTTAAAAATAACCTCTTCTCTCTGGGTATTTTTAAGGTCTTCTCTTATCTTTATTTTTAAAGTCAAATTTATTGTTATAATTTACATAAAGCAAAGTTAACCTTTTTTACATAGTGAAACCACACCAAAATCAAGATAGAGAATAATTCTATCTCATAACAAAGTTCCCCTTCTGACCCTTTGTAGTGAATCACTCTGCCCAATCCCTAACCCTTCACCACTGATCCCATTCTATCTTACAGTTTTGCCTTTTCAAAAATGTCATATAACACAAATTACACTATATATAATTTTGTTGTATCTGAATTTTTTCACTTCCAGTAATGCTTTTAAGATTTATCCATTAAAAAAAAGATTTATCCATGTCAAGAGGATCCTGAGATATACCAAATATGGACTGTGAACCAGGCAAATCAAAATGACTGGCCAAAGGAAACCCAGAAGAAATGCCCTATATAAGTGATTTTAATTGCCATGAGAGAGCGACTCAGGGACCCCTCTCTCTGAGCTCACCTGTGTATCTATCCACACATACTATACTCCTTTTCCTCCTAATAAACACTACTTGTTTCAAAAAAAAAAAAAAGATTTATCCATGCTGTTGCATGTATCAGTTTCCATTCTTCTGTTGAGTACATAACATTACATTATGTAGTAGTACAATAATTTGTTTATCTATTCACTACCTCATAGACATCTGGGATGTTTCTAGTTTCTAGCATTTATGAATACAGTTACTATAAATATTCATATATAAGCCACTATGTAGATGCATTTTCAATTCTTATGGGTAAAAACTTAAGAGTGGAATTTCTGGGTCATATGATAAGTGTTTGCTTAACATTATAACAAATTGTCTAACTATTTTCCAAATAGTTACAATATTCATACCTATCAGAAGTGTATCAGAGTTCAAGTTGCTCTCTGTGATATCATCTAGATAATTTCTTTTTTTTCCCATTTATCTATATTAGTTGGAGGCTAATTACTTTACAATATTGTAGTGGTTTTTGCCATATATTGACATGAATCAGCCATGGATTTACATGTGTTCCCCATCCTGAACCCCCCTCCCACCTCCCTCCCCATCCCATCCCTCTGGGTCATCCTAGTGCACCAGCCCTGAGCACTTGTCTCATGCATCAAACCTGAACTGGCGATCTGTTTCACAATTGACAATATACATGTTTCAATGCTATTCTCTCAGATCATCCCACCCTCACCTTCTCCCACAGAGTCCCAAAGTCTGTTCTATACATCTGTGACTCTTTTTCTGTCTTGCATATAGGGTTATTGTTACCATCTTTCTAAATTCCATATATATGCTTTAGTATACTGTATTGGTGTTTATCTTTCTGGCTTACTTCACTCTGTATAATGGGCTCCAGTTTCATCCACCTCATTAGAACTGATTCAAATGTATTCTTTTTAATGGCTGAGTAATATTCCATGGTGTATATGTACCACAGCTTCCTTATCCATTCGTCTGCTGATGGGCATCTAGGTTGCTTCCATGTTCTGGTTATTATAAACAGTGCTGCAATGAACACTAGGGTACACGTGTCTCTTTCAATTCTGGTTTCCTCAGTATGCCCAGGAGTGGGATTGCTGGATCATATGGCAGTTCTATTTCCAGTTTTTTAAGGAATCTCCACACTGTTCTCCATAGTGGCTGTACTAGTTTGCATTCCCACCAACAGTGTAAGAGGGTTCCCTTTTCTCCACACCCTCTCCAACATTTATTGCTTGTAGACTTTTGGATAGCAGCCATTCTGACTGGCATGAAATGGTACCTCATAGTGGTTTTGATTTGCATTTCTCTGATAATGAGTGATGTTGAGCTAGATAATTTCTTCAGGTCAACTAAGATCATTAACTGTTAAAAGCTGTTCACAAAATTTTTCATTTTGGCTAATATATCTTTACTAGGTGTTCTACTTGATTTTCTTCACATTTTTTGGGGGTAGTTCCTTTATAGTTTATGGCTCCCTATTGATAAGGGCAAGCTTTTCTTTCTTTAAATATAATAAATATTTTTATATAAAGTACTTTTATATTCTATGCCTAATAACTCAATTGAAAGTCTTTTACAATTTATTTCTGTTGTCAACATTTCTAAAGATTCTCACTTGTTCAATAATTAGTTCTGAGTATGAGTTGTTAATTTTCCTATTGAAACTTTAACTGTGGATATTTTTTAACTTGGTATGAAGGTTCAGAGAAGATCTGCATTTGCTTCTAGTAAACACCTGGAGACAACATCAAAATGGGACAACTTTAAATTTTCAGCCTGAGAATTTTTTGATGCTCCAAGTAGAATGAAATTGGATTGCAAACACATGTTAAGAACTGCTTCTTATGAATTATCAGGGATTTTCTTTCCTCTGTTCACTCAGCACCAGGATTGGGGATAGGCAATTTTCTTTAGTATGTTTGGCAGAAGGACCTGAGAGGTTTTGCAAGATGGCTTTCTCTCTAGGTCATCCCAATAATGAGCTATAATTCTTTGGAGTCTCAGCCTTGCAAAGGAGAGAATTTCTCATAACCCTCTTTGGGTGACTCTGGCCTTACCCCTCTATACTTCTACATCCTTAAAACTCATGCTTTCCCATTTAGCAGATTTCCCTTAGGGAAAATGCTACATTTAGGGCTTCACTGGGGCTTTACCCCAGGGTTCAGTGGTAAAGAATCCACCTGCAATACAGGAGCCACAGGAAATGCAGGTTCAATCCCTGGGTCTGGAAGATCCCCTGGAGGAGGGCATGACAACCCACTCCAGTATTCCTGTCTGGAGAATCCCATGGACAGAGGAGCCTGGCAGGCTACAGTCTTTAGGGTCACAAAGAGTAGGACATGACTGAAGTGACTTAGAGCCCACGCACAGTGTTTCATTATGCCTGTCTGGATTTGTCTTCATTTAAGTTTTCCTGTTTGGTTTATCTTATATTTAGGTGTACTGAGGTATAAATTATATCAAGTGCAGCTTCAAGTGCAGTTTCTATGAGCTTTCACAAATACATATCACCATAACCAACATATAGAACAGTTTCACATTGACTTAGTTTTTTTACATTATGGATTATTTTATTTCATTTTTTTCCTTATTTTTCTACAGCAAATATGTCACAATTTTATAGCCAAAAAATACATGTAGTCTTAAGAATGACTGATAAAAATCCCACAAACATAGCCCCTTCAGATTACTTATTTAGTCTTTGTCAGGACTATATTTTCCTATGTGATCCTCAGTGCATGTAAAAAGAATTTAAGATTTTAAAAAATGTTTTATCCAGCATCTTTAGTTGTTTTTTTCAGTAGAATACTTAATTAAGGTACTCAGTCTACCATACTGTCAGAAACTAGTTACCACTCCCTGACATTTCATATATTTATTTGTCTTATTTATTTATAGTCTGTCTTCCCTAACAGAATGTAAGCTCATGAGAGAAGGGACTCATCCATTTGAACTACTATAACTTTCACACCTAAACCGATTACTGGCAATGGTAGGTATGCAATAAATATTTGCAGTGGAATGCATGTTCTGAAGAAATTAAACAGGTTAAAAACTGACAACATAATCAATTCAAAATTTCTATATACTTACCATATTTGACTGGGGTTGCAATACCAGTCTTGCCTGTTTCTTTCTTTGTTTTCGGTAATAATTTTCAAATGTTTCCTCATCACCCTAAAATAAAGTCAGTAGAGTAATAAAAACACACATAACACAAACACATTGCTAAACAGATAACTTTCTTTATCCCATAAGGGTCTTTTTTCAGCTTCTAACAACTAGAATTAAATGTGGAATGGTATTTCATATTGAATACCAAGAACAAGCTTTTCGCATTATAGTTCATAGACAGTTACCTTGTATGGAGTCATGACAATTAATCAAACAAAAGGTAAGTTCAAATAATTTGATAGTTACCCAACTTATCACTTAGGCTTTATACATTTTTGACTGACCAAAGAAAATATGGCTGTCAGTGAAGGAAACTAAGTAAGAAAATTAGCTATCGAGCCTCAACTTCTGAACATGTTGTATAAGAACTACGCACACCTCACCACAGGACAATATACAGTGTTTTTAACATGGTTTACCATTAGTCTGCATCCAAAAACAGCCAGGTATACATTATTCTTAAGTTTACATGGAACATTCTCCAAGATAAAGCATTTGTGATGCCATAAGACAAGCCTCAATAAATTTAAAAGGACTAGAACCATACAATATATGATCTCTGATTTAATCAATGGGATTAAATTAGGAATCAATAACAGAGGAACTTTAGGGAAATTCACCAACATGGAGATTAAACTCCATCTTGGTGTTTAGTTATTTAAACTAAATTAGTTATTTAAATAATAACTAAATAATTAAATAATTAGTGCATTAAAGAAAAAATCACAGGAAATTAGAAAATACTGAGATAAATGGAAACAAAAACACAATACATCAAAACTCAAGAGACTGCAGCTAAACCAGAGGTTAGGAGGAAATTTACAACTTTAAATGTCTACATTAAAAAAGAAGAGCAATTTCAACTAATATCTTAAACTTCTACCTACATGAAAGAAGTTGAACACAAAAGGCCACATATATGATGATGCCATTTATATGAAATACCCAGAATAGGCAAATTCACAGAGACAGAAAGTAAATTAGTGCTTGCTAGGGACTGAGGTAAGGGGAGAGTAACGAGTGGCTGCTAACATGTAAGAGGTTTCTTTTTGTACAAATAAAATGTTCAGAAACCATTTGTAATGGTTGCACATCCATGTGAATATGCTAAAATCACTAAACTATGTGTCTGAGAAAGGTAAATGTTTTGGTATATGAATTATATCAGAATAGTGCTATTTTTAAAAGGATAATTGTTCAACCAAAAATGAAAACAATGTAGTCTGGCATAACAAATATGGAAGTAACATATTTAAAAGTAACTGTGATACAAAAGTACAGAGCCAAGAAGGAAGAAATGGAAAGTTCTTTTAAATATACATGAAAAGTACACTTCAAAGTACATCATAAGTTGAAGAAAGAAGTAAATGCCTCACACGCAGGGGATACTTCACAAATAAATACTGCATGTAGATTTACAGCTCAATGAACTTGTAGTCAGCCTTTAGAAAAGCAGGCCTAAAATGCACACACGTCTTTTTAATAATACAAGTATATGCACCCATATGTGCATACATACATATATGTATACATACACATATACACATATACAAAAGATACTTACCAGAACAGAATAAATATGCAAACATTGGTAAACAGGGGAAAAATCAACAAGATCTTGTACAGTTAAGACCTGAAAAAATAAAATAATTTTTTAAAATTATAGGTCAAACTACTAGTCTACTGTTGAACAATATAAAGTTAAAATTAGAGAAGATTCATAGATTTCATGTTATAACACTTATCAACTATAAAAAGCATACAATAGAAACACAATGCCTTTTTATTATGTTTTGGCACCTGTTCATACCTTATTTTTTATATATTTATCATCGCTGTTGATTATTTTAGGTTATAGGTCAATAAAGCGGGGAGACTGTATATCTTTAACATGCTTAATAGATTATCAGAAAACTGCTATGGATAACTAGATATATAATTACTGCTTCTGAAAAACACAGTGCACAAATGTATGACTTAGTTACAGATGAAGTTCCTTCCCTTATGCATCACTTATCATTATTTCATCAAATTTAAGATATTATCACTTTTATGGAACACTACCACTTGAAACTATAATATCATCAATTTTAAGATGAATCCTGATTCTGAGATGTTAATAATATTTTTAAGGTACACTTTAGGGCTTCCCTGGTGGCTCAGTGGTAAAGAATCCGCCTGACAATGCAGGAGACACAGGTTTGATCCCTAAGTCAGGAAGGCCCCACGTGCCTCGGAGCAATTAAGCCTGAGCTCTGCAACAAGAAAAGCCACCACAGTGAGAAGCCTGTGCATCACAACCAGAGAGTAGCCCCTGCTGTCCACAACCGGAGGAGAACCCAAGCAGCGGTGAAGACCCAGCATGGTCAAATAAATAAATAAATAAAATTATTTTAAAAAAATAAAGTACACTTTACAATGAAAGAAACAAAGTAATATAAAGTTTCCCAAACTTGTGAAATAAACTCTTTTTAAAGGAACACATTTCTATTCTTACAAATCCGCTGAGTGAACTTAAATTATTTTTATTGTAGAGTTACTTATTTGTGAAAATGAGAGAAATAAAATGTAGTAATAATTAAATAGATCTGAAAGAACAGGGAAACAACCAAGTTTCTCTTAGAGTATGGATTTAGGGGAAGGGGAAGATGGCAATGCTTCCAACAGTTGAAAGATACACAAAACAGATTCAGGAAAATTGAGATACAAAGACTAGATGTTTCATTTTCACCATTCTGAATTTCAAGGGAGAAAAGACAGAGATTCTCTGAATATTGATTAAGAAGAACAAAAAAGCAGATTTTAAAAAGGTTTATTTTATTCCAAGGGACCATTCAGGTCACATTAATTCCACATTAGAAAGACATTAAACCCTTTAAGGCAGTTTATTTGTCTGTATATCAGACATCCACTGTATATGTAAATATATGTATATACATACATGCAAATATTAACATACATATACATACATATACACACACACTCATAACTACATACAGATTCACTCATCCTCAAGGCATGTAATGCAAATGTACACACTGAACACTCAGTGGTTCCCACAACCACAGAGAAGCCATGGACACATATATTTATATGGCTCCTTTTTAATCAATCAATTAAAAGTTCTTACTACACCCTAACAGTGTTCTTAAAAAAAGAATTTAAAATCTCATTGACAAGGCAAAACTTATAAACAATTGGGAATACTAGACTTCTTATGGTATTAACTAATTCAAAACAAATTCAACAGAAAAGATAAAAAGTAGGCTCAACAGATGACTTTGTAGAAAGAATAAAAGAATGAATGAATTTGACAAGGAATGAATGTGAACATAGAGAATAAAAGAAAGAAAATATTTAAGGACAATTTCAAGATTTTTAGACTTAATAAAACTTTTTTAAGAAATTAAAAAGTTAACTTTAATCATACTAAAATTACTTTGTACTATCTCAGCACCAACCAGAGAAAAAAAAGGTAGGGTATCCAGAATTAGTTTAAATGGCAAGGTTAAGCCATCATGCAATTATATGTTTGCCACAGGTAATTAAATTATGAGGGATCACTACAAAAAAATTAAATTTATACTTTTACTGTTAATTATTGCAGAACACCTAGGTTAAACTATCTGTAGCTTACAAATATAATCTATATCTTATTAATGTTATATATGACATAATCTATATTTTATTATCCATATCTTATATAGATAATCTATATCTGCCCATCTAACATTTTAGATGATTCTTTCATTCTAATATCATTACAAAGCGATCTACTTAAGTTCACTTTAAACATGGCAAGACTCACAGAGACACTACAACTCAAGCAGAAAAAACCACCCAAAAATAGATGAGGGAGGGAGGAAGAAAAGAAAGGAAAAGGGGAAGAAAAGAAAGGAATGAAGGAACAGATAAAAACAAAAAAAATAGAAAAAGAATCAAATTCCCATCACCTCCTCTTCATTCTCATCCTCTTCCTCAAATGCATGTTTCAATACAACTTCATTCCTTTCTTCTGGAATTCTATCATTTATATACATAGTCTTCCCAAATTTTACATTATTTCGCTTCTGCAGAGTAACAGTGAAGATTTTCTGCTGCTGTGCCTATTTGGGGAAAAGAAAAGTTCAGATTATCTGAAAAAATATTGTGGTCAAAACTGGTTTAAAAATTTCTTCATACTTTTTCATCTTTTTACTGTCTGGAGGTGTAGGCTCCGGAATGATGTCCCATTTTTTATTCATGATTTATTTGTATCCTCCTTCTTTTTTCAAGAGACTTGCAGGGGATTATCAATTTTATTTGAAAAGGTTAAGAACCAATTCTCATCTTTGTTGATCCTACCTATTGTATTTTGTTTTCTATTATACTGATTTCTTCTCTTGATTATTTCCTTTGACTTTCTTTTTTTCAATTCTATTTTATTATGGTAAGCACATGTAACATGAGATCTACTCTCTTAAATTTTTAAGTGTACATATTCAATGTGTATATCAATAATTTAATACATTATTGCTGATAGGTATAGTAGTTACAGAAGACCTCTATAGCTTGTTCATCTTTTTTTTTTTTTTTTAATGGGCACACCATGCATCTTGTGGGATCTCAGTTCCCTGACCAGGGATAGAGGCCGGGCCCACAGCAGTGAAAGCCCAGAGTCCTAACCAGTGGACCACCAGGGAATTCCCTAGACCTTGTTCATTTCATTCTGAAACTTTATGTCTGTATATGAGTAACTCATTTCCCTCTGGCAACCACCATCCCACTCTTTGATTCAATGAATTTGACTAATATATGTGCATGCATGCTCAGTTGTGTCTGACTCTTTGCAACCCCATGGACTGTAGCCACCAGGCTCTTCTGTCCATGAAATTTTCCATGCACAAATGCTGGAGTGGGTGCCATTTCCTACTCCAGGAGGTCTTCTCAACCCAGGGATCAAATCTGTGTCTCTTGCATCTCCTGCATTGGCAGGTGGATACTTTACCACTGAGCCACTTAGGAAGCCTCTGATAAACTAGTGATTCAATTATTTTAATGACCTTTGGTTTACAGCACTGTCAAGATTTTATAAAAGAATTACCACTAATTCTTTTTTAAGAGGAAAACCAAAGACATAAACTTAAAAACGCCAGAAAAATTTAAAAGATATGACACCATACTGGAGCATACATAAAATGTGCTGCCTTAACTCCAATGGATTATTTGTAGAAAAAAAATGTCTACTAACCTCACAGAAAACTATGATATCAAGTTGCAAGCTTACTTTATTCTCCATAGAAAATGTCCACAGTTTATGAACACTTGAAAGGCAGAAGCTGTTATCCCACAACTGACTTAATTATTGACAAATATGAGTATTTATATAGATTGAGAAACCTTATATTTTCTTTTATGCATTTTAGTGATACTTCACTATCTGAGCCTCATTATCAGAGATTGAAAAAACTATAGGATTAATTCCAGCATTTTAATCTCACTATATAATGCCTAATTAATGCTTTGGTAGCTCTGACTATAAAGAATCCAGCTGCAGTGCAGGAGACCCAGGTTTGATGCCTGGGTCAGGAAGATCCCCTGGGGAAGGAAATGGTACTTGATGCATATTAGTGGAACATTCCCTCTGTTGAGAGAGGTCAGATTGTAGCTACTCTGTTCCGTAAGCATGTAGACAGTTTACCCACTGCCTCTTTAGGGTGAATTTCCTCTAAGAGCTACACTACTACTATTCAGAACGTTCTACTCCCAGGTAATCAGGCCATGCACATCAAAGAAATCTAGCTCTACCCTCACCTAAACCTTGATGCTGGCTCTAGAGGCTTGTGCTTAAGAAAATCATTGTCCCTTCTCACCCATTAACATCATTAACCTATCACTGGGAAAAAAAAAAAGTCAGAATTCTCTTTCTCCCTCTGTGCCCGAACTTATTTTGTCTATAATATTCAATTTTTGTAGTAAAAAATTATTTATTTAGAACACTGATTCCAAACTCTGGTGGCTGAGACGGTAAAAGCGTCTGCCTACAATGCAGAAGCCCAGGTTCGGTCCCTGGGTCGGGAAGATCCCCTGGAGAGGGAAATGGAAACCTACTCCAGCATTCTTGCCCAGAAAATCCCATGAACCGAGGAGCCTGGTAGGCTACAGTCCATGGGGTCGCAAAGAGTTGGACACGACTGAGCGACTTCACTTCACTTCCAAACTCTACTATGCACAAAACTAACATTTCACACATTATCAATAAATATTTCTTGAAAAAAGGGTTCTATGTTCAAACAAGTTAGATAAATATTACACATTTTATCTCACTTTCAGGGGATTTACAATCCATAAGAAATATGTTTAACTTTATTTAACCCACGTTTTCAAAAATTATTTGACTATTTAGTCCCATTTTCCCCTAAAGAACACTATTAAAATGTGTACCAGGGAATACAATATGAAAATGTTAACTGAAACTATGAATTTTAGGTATTTAATGACTAGTTAAATATCAACTACTCATAGTGGATTCACCTTTCCCAATAGAACTACAAATGCAAGGCTCTCTTTTTTTTCAAAGGCTGTCTTTTACTTTAAAAAAAAATTCTCCCTAGAGAAGCTAAAGCTCAGCTCTAAATTCCAAACCAAAAAAAAAAACTTCTTGTGCAATTCATGCTAGGCAGAGTGCTATTAGTAGGTTTCAGGAAGGTAAAAATAAATAGGATACAGCCCCTCACTTTAAAAACTCACTGTCTAATTAAAAACACAAAATATGCAGTTCTAATGTTGTGTGAAAAGTACAGTAGATGCATGCACTGAGGAGGAAGTGACCATCTTTTGCTAGTAGTAGTGAGACAGCGGAAAAGTACATTTTTCAGAAAAAAGTGATACTTAAGTCAGTTTTAGGGGAGAAAAAGCAGCAATTCATCCGATGGGAAGACTGAAAGAGGCATTTTAGGTAGAAGAAACAACCAGTATGTTAAAAATTTTGATATGTGTACCTCTATAGCACACAGGAAGAGGGAGTATCCAGAGATGAGGCTTTTGTTTCAGGCTGAGGAATTTGGAATTAGTAAAGGGTAACTGGGAATCCCTGAAGAGAAGTGTGGAACAAACCCAATCCCTTTATACAATAACTTTAAATGAAGTATAATCTTTAAGGACTTCCCTGGTGGCTCAGTGGTAAAGAATCCACCTGCAATGCAGAAGACACAGGTTCAATTCCTGGGTCAGGAAGATCCCCTGGAGAAGGAAATGGCTACCAACTCCAGTATTTTTACCTGGAAAATTCCATGGACAAAGGAGCCTGGTGGGCTGCAGTTTATGGGGTCACCAAGAATCAGACACCACAGAGCATGCATACATGTATAACCTTTAAAAACTATGAATCAATATATTGTACAACTGTAACTTATATAACCTTGTATATCAACTATACTTCAATAAAAATTAACGAAAATTCAAAAAATAATTTTAAAAAATGAGATTAAGATTCTTCTCAAAAAATAATAAAAAGCAAAAAAAAAAAATCTGCTATGGTCCATCTGCAGATAAAAAACAGACAAACACAAATTTAAAAGAAATGAAACAACTTAAAAAAATTACTGTATATCCTCGTACGTCCTACATTATTATTATACATAGTTTTCATTTTTCTTAAAAGTATATCAATTCTGGTAAAGAATTTTCAAAATCAATAAAATCAAAACATCCTCAAAGTAAAACAATCTATTCAGTTCAGTTCAGTTCAGTCGCTCAGTTGTGTCCGACTCTTTGCCACCCCATGGACTGGAGCACGCCAGGCCTCCACGTAGACTATTATGTTATGCAAAGCTTAAACAACAGGTAGAAATGGAGATTATCTGGTTTATAGACAATCCGTCAGAAATTAAAATAGGAAAAAAATTCAAATACTGAATTTTAATTTCCTCTTCTGTGGTAATAGTCTGATACAGGTATATTTCTTTAATCAGAAAAATAAACTCACCCATCATAAAATGGCCAAAAGACCAAAATACACATATCTCCAAAGACATCAGATGATCAATAGGCACATGAAAAGATGCTCAACGTCACTAATTATTAGAAAAATGCAAATCAAAATGAAATGCAGTGAGGCATCACCTCATACCAGTCAGGATGGCCATCATTAAAAAGTCTACAAACAATAAATGCTGGAGAGGGTGTAAAAACAAGAGATCCCTCTTATACTTTTGGTGGGAATGTAAACTAGTGCATCGAAAAAAGGGTAGACGTTCCTTAAAAAACTAAAAATAGAGTTGCCATATGATCCAGAAATCCCACTGCTGTGCCATACCCAGAGAAAGCTCTAATTTGAAAAGATACACGCACACCAATATTCACAGCAGCACTACTTACAACAGCCAAGACATAGAAGCAACCTAAATATTCATCAACAGATGGATGAATAAAGAAGATATGGTGTGTGTGTGTGTGTGTGTGTGTGTGTGTGTGTGTATATATATATATAAAATGGAATTCTACTCAGCCATAAAAAGAATGAAATAATGCCATTTGCAGCAAAAATGATGGATTTAGAAATTATCATACTAAGTGAAGTAAGAAAAAGAGAAATACAATACATCATTTCTATGTGAAATCTAAAATACGATACAAATGAAATTTACTTACAAAACAGAAATAGACTCACAGACATAGAAAACAAATTTAGGGTTAGCAAAGAAGAAAGTTGGTAGGCGATGGATAAATTAAGAGTTTGGGATTAGCAGATACAAACTACTATTTATAATACAGATAAACAACAAGATTCTTCTGTTTAGCACAGGGAACTATATTCAATATCCTATAAGTTCCATTATGGAAAGTTTCCATAATAGAAAAAAAACATTAAAAACTATACAAAAGAATATATAAAGGTATAACTGAATCACTTTGCTGTAAACCAGAAACTAACACAACACTGTAAGTCAACTACACTTCAATTTTAAAAAAAAGAAAATAAAAGTTTCTCTAAAGCAGTCTATAATACTTAAGAAAACATCAGGAGTTAGAAAGCAAGATGAACATAATTTTATTTCTATGACACTGCAACTATTAGAAAGTTTTAATAGCTACAGAAATTGTAATTCAATTAAAATAATTTTAAAACTTTTTATTATTGAAAATTTCAAATACAAAGTAAACAGATTAACATAATGAACTCTTAAGTTCACATCACCTATCTTCAACAATTTATATTTATACATCCTTTAATTTATGCCTTTACCCACTCACTCCACAAACATTCCAAGTACTGCTTAAAATTTTTTTGAGGTAAGACTTATATACATTGAAATATATAAAAACCATATGATTATCTCAATAGATGCAGAAAAAGCCTTTGACAAAATTCAACACCCATTTATGATTAAAACTCTCCAGAAAGCAGGAATAGAAGGAACATACCTCAACATAATAAAAGCTATATATGACAAACCCACAGCAAGCAT